TGTTTTGTTGTAGTGTTCCATCATTTAGACAATGAAAATATCTACAACTTTCATGAAGACAACTTTTTCATTTGACGAACACCTTGGGGTGTACCCGGTCGGGTAACATGCCATACCCGGTCGGGTATGAGTTCCAGTGGATAATCTCCCACTCTACCCGACCTGGTAGCAAGTCGGGCCACGATATTCATCAGACCCGGTCGGGTACATCATAAGACCCGGTCGGGTTTGTGTTCCAGTGGGTAATCTCCCACTCTACCCGGTCTGGTAGCATGTCGGGCCCAAATTTTCTCATCAGGCCCGGTCGGGTACACCACCAGACCCGGTCGGGTAGGTGTTCCAGTGGGTATTCCAGTAGGATTTTTCAGTAGACCCGATCGGGTGGCCCAAAATGCCCGGTCGGGTATGTGATCCAGAATGCTTACGAGGGCAAAAACATGTCCTACCCGGTCGGGTTTATTGCCCTACCCGGTCGGGTAGTAACATGGTTTGCTCTCTTTTCCCATTTCGATCTTACGTTTGCTCTCACCTGGATTCTAGGATTTATAACTTCAATTTATGGATGGGGAATGCGTAAAGCGAGAGGAGTTAAGCGGTCAAACCTGCAACCGAATCTGGGTTAGCTCGGGCATCCGCCTCCGTCATTGCGTAGACCCTTGCTTGGGTCCTTCCTTGGTTCACGGAGGGTGCGTTGCTCGTGCTTGCTCCCCCTTGGCCCGTACTGGCATGCGGTGCTCCGGTTCGGTTCCTACTTGCCGTAGTGGGGCCGGTTGATCCCGCCCCTCGGTTCCCACCAAGTTGAGGGCAGTTGGGCTTGATATGCCCTGTGCTCCCGCATTGGTAGCACCGTGGTGGATCACGACACTTACCGGCGTGGCTCCGGTTGCAATTCCTACACCTTGGCGCAGTTGACGCTTGTGAGCCCGAGTTGTGCCCGCTGAAGGCCGGGTTCCCTTTTGATGGCGGTGCCGGTGCCCTGAACGATCCGCCTCCCCCATGGTTCCCCTTCTTGTTGGAACCTTGGGGGCCATGGCTTTCCCACTTCCTTTTCTTCGCCTCCTCGGCATTCCTTAGCTTTCTTTCCTCCCACTCCTTCTCTCCCTTCAGGCCTTGTTCAACCACTTGACTAAACGTCATATTAGGCAATTGTGTTGCCCTCTCACGTATGTCAAGGTCCAAGGCATCCCAGAAGTGGTTCACCATCCGGTTCTCATCACATATGTACTCCGGTATGAATTCGGCAAGCTTTCTGAACTTGTGCTCAAGTTCCTTCACCGTGCATGCACCTCCTTGTGTCAAGTTTGTATACTCCCTCCTCTTCATGTTTACCTCGAAGTCGGAGTAGTATTGGTTGAAGAACTCCTGCCGGAAGTTCTCCCAAGTGACGGCCTCGCCGTACTTCCCTTTGACTCCGTCCCACCATGTGGACGCCATGCCTTCAAGCAATCTTATTGCCACCCTCAGTTTCATGTTGGGTGGCAGCTGCATGTCAAGGGCCGCTTCGTTGAATCTTTTGATCCACTCGGCCGCCACGGAGATGTCCCCCGTTCCGTCAAACGGTTTACATCCCAAATCTCTTGCTTCCTTGACAAATTTGGAGATCCTTATGGTTGGACCTCCAGCATTTTGGCCTCCATGGGGTTCAACATGGACCCTAGAAGCACCATGACTTCCCCCCCTTGAAGCCATGCCCGAAGGTTGCCCCGCTCGGCGCCTTCGGCGTTGTCTCCTCTCCTCACGCTCCTGGTGGTATTGTTGGAGCAGCGCCTCGATTCTCCCAAGAGTGCCATCATCTTCACTCTCTTCACTCACATCATCATCCTCCCCATCATATGGGGTTTCCACCGGCTCGGTTTCCGGTCTATAAGTTGAGTCCTCATAGGACCAATAAGTCTCACTCTCGGTGTCCACGTGGCCATCGCTCACGGTCTGTTGTTGGCCTCCACGGCCCCTTCCCCTTGACACCCTAGTGGACCCCCGGCTGCCGCGTTCGGACCCACCCGGTACACGGCCCGTCGGGTTCCTCCTAGTGATTCTACCGATTGGCTCCATTTCTGAAAGAAGTTTAGAATGAGCCATTAGACTCGTATCAACTGTCAAGTGACGGATAGGTACTTAAAGACATCTTTTGGCTTAAATCACCGCCATACCAATTGTTAAGGGTACCATCTTAACAATTAGAGACCTCGCAACTCGAGTACCAAAAGTTCTATAAGTACAAAACTTTATGCTCATGGGTTTCAAATTCGTTTTTCAAAAAGAGATTTTGAAGCTTCATTATGAAGTTTACGGACTAAGGCTCTGATACCAATTAAATTGTCACGCCCCGGACCTACCGGACACGTCAACAACCCGCCGTACAGTACGAATAGTCAACCGCAGTCCAACTCATCCATACTATACTAGGCGTCTTGAATACCATTCACACATAGTACATCCATAAACAATCATAACGTAAAATATTTAATTAAGCAGCGGAAACATAATTACAAATATTCAAGCCACACGTGGCAACCACGGGCATACAAGCCCCCAAATAAATATTCGAAATAATGTCCATGAGCATTATTTAAATTGTTTTCAAAACAGAAACAGGAGAAGTACGAACCCCGCCTTCCTCCTTGAATTCCCCGAAGCAACGAGCGGTAGTAGCAAGCTCTACTCCCTACCTGAAACTGTGAGGTGGCCTCCCCCGTGAAGGGGAGGTCAGTACTTGGAAGCATTTGACAAGTACAATGACAACTATACTAAGTATAATCAAAGTTTCAATTTCCAAGACCCTCAATCCAAGATGTTATTCATTTGTACTTAACTCCTGTTCCTTCATGCTAGAGCTCGGCTCATAGTCATGCTAAATTGTGCTAGAGCTCGGCTCATAGTCACACTACATTTGCTAGAGCTCGGCTCATAGTCATACTAAATTGTGCTAGAGCTCGGCTCATAGTCACCCTACGTTTGCTAGAGCTCGGCTCATAGTCATACTAATTTGTGCTAGAGCTCGGCTCATAGTCACCCTACGTTTGCTAGAGCTCGGCTCATAGTCATGCTACCACGTGCTAGAGCTCGGCTCATAGTCACGTCAACTAATCCCTAAACCACTTCTTAGTCTAGGTTCCATCCATTTTGAGTAACCCTTAAGGCCTACTCCAAATGTAACTTAAGTTCATAATAATTTGAATATCTCAATTAAATTCCACATTCAAGTATAACTTGGCTCTAATATCAAAATATCACTTTTATCCTTCCATGACTTCCTTACATGAGGTAAAAGTATATTTATCACAATTTAGTTTATAGTTTACACAACTATTATACCATTGTGAATTAAATTAGCTAAAAATACATATTATCATGAAAGATAATTAAATAAAGTGAAATTAAATGCTAATTAAAAATGTCATTGTCATACAATTACATATTACCAGGACAAGGAGGGTTTTCCTCATCAGGACTGTTAATAAATTGATTAATATCATTAATATTGAATTGAGAGCTTGATCGGCGTCGGATGGCACCTTGACTATGCGGTTGAGGCTTCGGTTGAGGTGGATGTGTGAAGAAAGGCTGACCGGATTGAAAATATGGCGGAGGAAAAAAAGACATTCCGTCGGGCTGACATCTGTTGGGATGACTATAATACCCCAAAATTTGAGAAATATTTAAAATTATGTTTTATATCGTTTAGAAGGTTTCTAGATAGTTTAATATGTTTGGTTTGGTGTTTGGGACCAAGAGAAGGTTCAAACGGGTATGAAACAAAGCAAATTTTACAATTTTGTGCGTCTGGGGGTCACGCACTGCGTGTTTGGGGCTACGCACGATGTGCGTGGTAAGAAAATCAAGCGGACCGCTTCTCCAAGAATATTTTTAAGGCCAAGAATGTGAACAAACAATCAATCCTTCCGGTAAACGCGTTTGTTGCCTAATTCGCATCGTTCTTCATTCTCTTGATTTCTCTCTCCTAAATTATAATCCTTTGACCCTATACATTCCTAGGATCGTGTGATTGACCTCTAAATTTAGGATTGACGTTTATGATTCATTGCTAGCCTCAAGGAAAGGACTATTGCAACCAAAATTACTATTTTGCCCTCTAATATGACTATTATATTAATTAGTGTGTGAGATACGATTTGAGTATCTTTATGAAATTTTATGTGTGATTCGGCTATGATGGACTTATTTAAGTATGATATGGTTTTATGGGAATTTCGGAACATGTGAATTTTGAGATAATTAATTATTTTTATTACTATAGCCGAAGTTGTGAGGCTGCGTAGGAGGCTGCCACGTGGCAAAAAGTGATTGCATTTGCCTTTCCATCGCTTCCCACTTTTCCTTCTCCATATCCAATCTTTCCTGAAGATTGTCTACACGCTCCTCACTCGCCATAGACTTTGAATAATATGGCAAGAAAATTTACTCGTACCCATGATCCGGCCTTTGTTGGATCACTAGCCGCTATCATGTAGATGCCATCATCATTGTCAATGGTAATTAATTTTGGCCTCTTCAATACTACCGGCGCCAAGTTCGATGACTTTCTGTGTTGCAGCTTCTTCGTATTTTTGGTACAATAAATATAATAATGTGAATTAAATCACAACTTATTAGTTATATACGGAGTAATATTTAATATATCTGTGATTGACAATTTTTACTTCAATTGCAGCAATGCGAGGTGGTGTCTCTCTTAAAATACTATATATTTATTTGCACCAAGAAAAGACATACTTCGTATATATTTACTTTTGATTAGAAAAGTTTTATGCCTTTAATAGGATCAAATGAATTCTAATTTGAGAATAATATATACGCAAATAATTTTAGTTGTACACTTTGTTTAGAACGATTGTTTTTAATTTTTTGAAATGTTTTATTTTAAACGTTTTCATTTATGCCATTATTTTACCTATCACAATATTATTGTCTAATTTAGTGTAAGGATGTCTTCTTTTGGACTGTTTTCAGTCTCACACCAGACCAGATTAGACCAGATCAGACTAGACTTGACTTCCGTAGTTATAAAATACACAGAGACCAGATGTTTACCAGAACAGACCGTCAAATTTCAGTACAAAAGAAAACACCCAAACTATTCTTTAGTGTAGTTGAACCCATATTTCTATATGGGGTAACGGCATATTCAAGTTCATATCCAACAATTTAATTAGTTGGGCATCAATTGCACTGGATACTTATGAATACAATCCTCCCATGGATTGTCTCGAGAAGGCTTCACATTCCTCAGAGCTTTCCAAACAGCACTATTGCACTTGAACCCACTCCCAAATGCAATCTGCCATATCCGGTTTCCCTTCCGGATCCTCCCCTTCGCCTCCGTGTAGGCCAGCTCGTACCAGACGGAACTCGACGACGTATTCCCGAACCGGTGCAGCGTCATTCTCGATGCCTCCACGTGCACCGGCGAGAGCTTCAAGTTCTTCTCCAGCTCATCGATCACCGCCCTCCCGCCGGCGTGAATGCACACGTGTTCAAATGCCAGCTTGAAGTCCGGGATGTACGGCTTGATTCCGCCGTTCTTGAAAACCTTTCCGGCGACGAGGGTTGAAAAGAACCGAACTTGCTCTCTGATCGGAAGCACCAGCGGCCCCAAGAATGTTATGTTGGTCTTCAGGGCTGCGCCGGCGATTCTCATCAGGTCTTTCGACAGTGACACCCCTGTTTTTCCGGCGATGTCCTGTTCCTGATAAGCGCACCGGTAGGCCGCGTCTTCCCCCCCTTTGTGCGTCCGGACTACATGGACGAGCTGGTACTTTGCTCTCCTCTTGTCCGCCGCCTTGTTGGACAGCAAAACGGCGGCGCCGCCGACGCGGAAGATACAGTTGGGGATCAACATAGATTTCTTGTTCCCGAAATACCAATTCTGGGTCATGTTCTCTGTGCTGACGACGACGGCGTAAGTGTTCCGGTGAACTCGTAACATATCTTTCGCTAGGTCGACGGCGATGAGCTCGGCGCTACACCCCATTCCTCCCAAATTGAAGCTCCTGACGTTCCCTTTCAGCTTGTACTTGTTCACAATCATGGCGGAAAGCGACGGGGTGGGATTGAACAAACTACAATTCACCACAAGAATACCAATTTCCTCGGGTTTGAGCTTAGTGTTACGGAATAAGCTATCCAGACAACCACACATGACCTGCTCTGCCTCGGCCCGAGCAGAGTCCATGTTAATGACAGGCGGGACTCTATGCATACCCTCCGGGAGGTAAGTTTCCTCCCCAAGACCGGACCTTTCCAGAATCTTTTGCTGGAAATCGAGCGCCGGGTCATCAAAATCTCCGGTGAGCCGGGAATGGTTGATGAACTTTGCGTAGGGTACCCGGAGGTGATCCGGCGGGCGGTAACACGAGTAATCCACGAGAAAAACGGGTCTGGGTCGGGTCAAGATGTAAATGGTTGATCCGAATACGAGGAAAATGGAGATAACGGTAACGGCGACGAGGTATTGGTAAATGTTCAAATCTTGGTATTCCGTATTGATGATGAGAGCGACGGCGATGAGAGCGACTAAAAAGAAGGTCAAAACGTGTGACGTCAGGTATTGGTATCCTACTTTGAAGTACTTGAGATTAGTGCTGTGTAGAAAATCCGGCTTCTTACGGACTTGGTTTATCTGGTTCACGGCGGGTGCACCGCTGCCGGAGGTGTTACGTACGGCTCCAGAGCTGACCATTTTTTGAATATTCATTGGGAATTAAAGTGTGCAATTTGCACCGTTAACTATAACGCCGCCCCCATGTCCTATATACTATCCTCCCTCTCTTTTTAATCGCAACATGTTGAATTTTACACTATTCACATATTCTACTTTGACTACATTTTATATTATTATTTTATGAAAATTATTATTTTTAAATTATATTGTTCAATTCATCTCATTACAAATTTTCAAAATCTAGTTTTTAAATATTTTTTACTAATAGGGATTAAGATATAATTACGGTCAAAGATGTGCGTTGGCAAGTGTGAAATGTTGACCGTTGCAACTAAAAAAGAACGGAGGAAGTATATACACGAAGGTTTGGAGTATATGACTATTAGGTTTACTTTGACTTTTCTCCAAATTAGATTCTTGGAGTATTCAATTGTCACTAATAGAGTATTTAATTATCAGAAGTAAAAGCTATAAAGAGAAAGTGAGTAATTAATATTTCTCAACCTCCTATAACTATCCCAAAGGGAGTATTTATAGAAGTAAATGTGGATTTGACCTCCTAGCCTTGAACTTATAAGGCTCATTACAATAATTATGCCTTCTTTGGGCAAAATAAGACCACTAATGGCCTGAGTACAACACTTAATAAAAAAAATAGGAAAATACATTCTGCCAGGGGGAGATCTTGGCTGATGTGTGCTCTCTGGCCGATACGCTCCACGACCGATGGAGTACCAGGCCGATGGGGTATCAGGCCGATGGGGGTACCAGGCCGATGGGGTACCAGGTCGATGGGTGACCCACCTCTGCCTTGGGCTCTTGGCCGTGATCCGAGCACTTTTGGTTCTGGCTGATGGGGTGCCATCTGGCCAATGCGACACCATGTGGTCACAGTCTTATGTGTTTAATCTTCTGAGTATGTGGCCCGTGGAGTCTGGGCTCATATACTCTATCAGGAGTCCCCCACTCTCTGAGCTGAGATGTAGACGAAGTGAAAGGGAGAAGATCATGTTTGGTTGCTTTTGGCCGAAGAGGAACCATGTGTGGTTGATGTCTCGTTGTGGGCTATTTCCTAGTGTCTGGCCGTTGCATGATCCGCTGGCTTCTTTGTAGTTGATGGTCGATGATGACCGATGTCCTTGGCATTGTTTGATGGTCGACGACTTGGCATTGCCTTTAAAAGGGTGATGTAAATCCCTTGCGCTTGTTCCTTATGGGCGATGAGGCATGACCTTTGCTTTCGAAGGCGATGTGTGTCCATTGTTACTCTCCTTTTGTGTTCTGGCTTTGGCCGAGGTTGACCCACATGCGTGTGGACGTTGTAATGTCAATGCTTAGCTTTGTGATGAAGTGTGACTCGTCATTTTAAGGATGATGCGGGTCCTCTAGGTTCACCTTTTGGCTTGGCCGAAGGCAAATCCATGTATTTGTGGTCGTTGTGATGCTCACTGATGTTGATGATGCGATCTTGAGGCCGGTGTAGTCCCCCAATCCATGGCCGATGGAGTACCAGGCCGATGGGTGACCCATTTCTACTTTGGGCTCTTGGCCGTGATCCGAGCACTTTTGGTTCCGCCCGATGGGGTGCCATCTGGACGATGCGATGCCACGTGGTCACGGTCTTCTGTGTTTAATCTTCTGAGTATGTCATCTTTTGTCAGAGTGAAATAAAAATAATACAGGTAATATAACCCCACATCCTATTGGACTTTGCTTAATTTACGTTACGTGCAAAATAAGAAAAGTAAAAATTGTAGTTGGGTTATGTGTAGATGAGAGAGAAATAAACAGAAAAACAAATTCTTTGCTTTGAACTGAAAGTGACAAACTATTGGAACAAATAAAAAAGATAAGTTGGCAAAATATCACATTAGTGGGAGGACACTCTGCATGGGCCTGCGTTGATGCAATGCGGAAGACCCAGTGTAGTCTAGGGTTAGTTTAGTAGGCGACGCGGTGATTCATTCATGGTGGTTGGTGTCCCGAAGTTCTCTATCGTGGTCTAGACTTTGGTTGCAGGGCAGCGAGACAGTGCAGTTTTCCCGGACGACTAGTAGTGCGGTGGAAATTACAATCGATGCTTTGGAATTCCACAACAGAGGCTTAGGGATTGGGAGAGGAAGTCTGGCTGGGTCGAGAAAGGCAGCTAGACGGCATGGAAGACTTATGCGCAATGATTTAGCTTGACAGATTTACAGAGTGGTGTCAAGGGCTTTTAGTGATTTTTAAGGCGATCGTGGATCTGCGTCGGGTAGGGTTGCGAGAACCGAGTTTTAGATGCTTGGTTTGGCTATTTGAGCTCTGATGGTGACTGAGATGGGAGCTGCACTAGTTGTGTTTGATCTGGGTGGAACGCTGGCGGTATGGGTCTCAGTTAAAGGGGGCGAATTTGGTCTCCAATCAGCTGTTGGGGGATCGACGTGGTTGTTTTGGCCGCCTCAGTTGGTGGAGGAAGAAGATGGTATGTTGATGATTCATCTCCTCATGAACCGCCGCCACAGAGGAATTACGCGACTAGGGTCTGGATGATGATGACGCAGCTGATGTATATTTATTTTTGTTATGTTCTATTCTGTTTGCAAACTTTATTTTGTTTTTATTAGGTCAAATGATAAGGGTTGTAGGTTCTTAGTTTGATTTACCTTAGGCTCTGGATTTGTGTTGAGAGTCAATCAGGCTGATTCGGGCGCTAATAGCGTCAAAGTTCTGTCTCGCTATTTTGGGTGGACTACTCTATATTTGATAAAGAAGTGAGAAGGTGGTGGGCTTCTCAGATCATGATGTTTATTTAGAGGGAGGTTAGTGTCGGGTGGTTACGTTTATTGTTTGCAATTTCATCTGGTTGTATGCGAGTTTTGATTTAATATAATAATATATATGACAATTTTCCTTTTAAAAAAACATAGGGGAGGGGAGAAAAAAAATACCTCCATCCCTAAATAAAAGTCTTTGTTTCCTTTTCGGGCTGTCCTTAAATAAAAGTTACCTTTCCTTGTTTTGACAAACAAAACAGTGCAAAATAGTCTAAAACAGTGTCAAATAGTGTCCAAACTGTGTCAAACAATGTCAAAAAATCTCACTTTCTTGAATTGTTTGTAAAACGAATAGGGGTTTTTATATAGGACTGGAGAGAGTAATAATATTACTTACTAAAAAAATGAAAAGTTGGGGGGTGGGGGGCCAAGCATAAGCTATAGCTCCGTCCTTGTTCACAATCATCTTCATCTCAAGGAGTGTTTGGGTTTGCTTAAAAAAGCGTTTTTCAGCTTTTGGCTTAAAAAAAGTTGAAAAGAGTGTTTCAAATGACAGCTTCTGCTTAAATTAATCACTTAAAAGCTAAAAGCTGGAAGCAGGTAGAAGGGTGCTTTAAACTGCTTTTCACTTTTTCTATTACACAAAAAATACTTATTTTACCAAACATTACCAATTTTTACTTTTCCAGAATCACTTTTTTCTCAAACACTACCAACTTTTACTATTAATCACTTTTCCAAAAATCACTTTAAAAAATCATTTTTTTAAAGTTGAAGCAATTGCAAACACTCCCTTACATATTTATCACATTCCTTGCTAGAGGTTAAGGTGTGCTCGGGCCTAGCCCCCTTTTTCTTAATCTTTTTTCTTAATTATAGGTCCGTCTCATATTTATCTCCTAAAGTACAATTGCCACACAGTTTAAGATATTGAATATTGTGTGGTGCAGAATTGTATAAAGGAGAGAAAAATTGGTAAAAATGTGTGAAAAATGATGTGAACCACAAATTCTTTATCAAAAGGAAAAAAGAAGATAATTTTAGAATAGACGTAAAGGGAAAGTTTGATGATAATTGTGGGGGGAGTATAATCTTTCATTCTTTCAATTGTGTTTGCTCCTTGTGAGAGGGAGGGAGTATTATCTTTCATTCTTTCAATTGTGTTTGAGAGCAGCACACTTTGCTATAACGTAATTTGCTGGAATTTGTACTAGCTTGTGTTTTATGTGACAATACAACTCATAATTTATGAATTTAATATATACTTTCAGATGACATAATTTCTTTTATTAGGAACTAGCAACTTTATTAAGTCAAAGAATCGTTTGCAACATGATTTACAATATATTCCGGTAGAAAAGTATAGCTACTGTTAATGTTTGAGATGTCAAAATGAGCTCTAGTTAAAGCGTGAGGCGCACGATTCGCATACCGATTACAAAAAGAGATAACAAATTTCATCTTTGTTTGGAATAAAAAACGAATATCATCAACAACCAGATCCGTGTATGCCAAGCCCCCCACCCCCCTGCACTCCCCTTTTTACCACATGCGCATCAAATTCAACCTCTTCTCACCCTTACTTAATGGCCCCAAGAATAACCTCTCGAATACCCACCGCTTCCGTCTCAGTCGGAGACCATACTATTCTACATGAGCCCCCAAAAGCTTTGATGAAACCTCCTTAGACCTTGATCATCCTTTGCTATCCATCCCCACTCCCTGATTCCTTCGGTCATATATATGGATGTAATTAAGGATTTAATTAATTTAAGTTTACAAAATTAATTGATCAGAAACTTATAAGGAGTATATTGAGTAAACCTGTGAATGGCTATACCGAGATCGATCCGTACATTACATTTACAAATACCTTATTTGTTGGTTGATGGTCACTCTCCCAAACAACAAACTGAAATACATTAATATTGCGATCACGAAATAGAACGAACCTATCAAAAATTGTCCTAGGCTCCTATTAATAGTGGTTGCACATAACTAATCACCAGTGGGACTAGCTAAGTTTCGTAAGAGTTTATACCACTGCCCATTTGTGTTCTTGACATCATTTGGTATTCAATAACAGTAACACACGTTCCTAGATAAATACCTTAAGGAAGCAATGCCTTGATCAAGTTAATGACTTCCACAATCAGGACAATGATGGGTCTATATTTCTCATATGCATCATATTCAGTGGCGGATTCGAAGTTTTTCCAACGCTGGGTCACAAATATATATGGGTCAGGTCAGGCCGGATCTCGTTTATGTACGTGCCCAAATTGATTTTTTTAATTAGAACCTAGTTAAGTATAATTGGATTCGCGCCATGAAAAGTACAACTGCCAATCTAGTTCTAGTTTGGATTTCAGCCAATTTGAACAAATATGAAAGCAAATACTTGATTGTTTAAGGCAAGGCCTATCCTGATATAGGGGCATGTTAGGCGGCTGTCCAAGGCCCACCGGCATGAGCGCTCCATAAATTATTTAATAGTAGTATGTATATATTCAGTCTCCTCATATCCATAGACTTAGCCAATTAAAAATTAAAAATTAAAAATTGATAGTATTATTGACAATTTTGCTCCTAGGAATGCCTAAAATTTATTTTGTATGGCTTATGATACCAGTAATTCTATGGGAAAAAACATTTACTTGTGTAATGAATACTCTGTATAATTTTATTTTAGACAGTGAAACTTTTGTAATATATTCTTACGTGCGATATACCACCTCCGTCCCAAAAAGGTTTGTCATATTGATATTTCTTGGTCAATTGTGATAAACTTTGGACAATGATTTTAATTAGGGAAAACTGTCAAATAGGTCTTCGAACTTTCATAAATAGGTCAAATAAGCCCTTATATAAGAGGCTCTGTCTGGCTGTCGCGATTTGGGGCGGTTGCCGGTGGAATTGTTTGATGAAAATTTTTGAGTATCTTATTTATCAAGTCTAGTTTACTAATACCAAATTTCAGCTAAAACTTCAATCGGGAACGCATTCAAATTAATTCTTTAAAATAACTGCACATTTATCTTCAAGAATTAATTTGAATGCGTTCCCGATTGAAGTTTTGAGTGAAATTTGGTATGAGTACATTAGACTTGATGAATAAGATTGCTAAAAAAATTCAACAAAACATTCCACCGGGAACCTCCCAAATCGCGACAGTCAGACAGAGCCTCCTATATAAGGACTTATTTGACCTTTTTATGAAAGTTCGAGGACCTATTTGATAGTTTTCCCTTTTAATTATTATATTTGTATATATTTATAAATTTTATACTTTTATAAAAATATTTTGAATAAGGAACATTTTGATATATTTTTCATATTCAAAATAAGTCTGTTCAAACAAATACCATTAGTCAAAATTGATTGTCATTGAACAAGAAAAATTAATTTGGTGAACTTTTTCGGGACGAATGGAGTATATACTCAGGGACCTATTTTTTGTCTTTTGTCTCGGGCCTAAAAATTATCAGGACCGGCCCTAACTCCATAGGTAGGTGTATCAATGGGTCGGGTCTAGACCTGGACCCGATCCCAACTCAGATGTTTAAACATCTATGGGTATATTTTATTCCGTTTATCGGGATCCAGATCCGTAAAAATTTATAATAAATGGGTCAAGTATAATACATATGATTTCCGACCCGTTAAGGATCCGTACCCGTTTAAAATTCTTTATTAGTATGCACACAAAAATTATAATACATACCTATTGTATAAGTGATACTGAGATAGTGAGATACCCTAAACTTAATATTCATTTATAGATACTGACAAAGTGTGTATTGAGTTCAGTAGACAAAACCCAATATTTATTATTACTATTATTATTATTATTATTATCATTATCATTATTATTGTTACTATCATTATCATTATTATTATATCATTACTCCGTATATAATATGCTTTTATATTCTCAGTAATTGAAGAAAACGTTTTGTTACCTAATTTTTAGTCTACTCTATGAGCTTTCTATGCGAGAGTGGAGCTATATGCAGGGGAAGAGTCAGGGCACTGGGCCGGACTGGTACGGTACAAAGAATATTTTTGAAAAAACTTTTACACGTAACTTTTTACCCTTAAATTAAAGTCATTTTTTAAATTTGAAGTGTGTTAAGATTTGAGGTTCCATCCTAAAAGGTCAACCTGTTAGGAGGAGTAGCTCAGATCTTAATATAGCATTCTATTACTTCTTAATTTACTGGTGTGGGACTTTACACCCCTCCTCATGACCAGACACTTCGTCTGGATCGTGTCGTCTTTCATTTTTTAGTCCTTCATCATTTTTTATAATCGTGTCGTCATTTTTCATAAGGGGCCCACACCATGATTATGGATTGGTTTGGCTCTGACACCATGTTAAGATCTGGGGTTCCATCACAAAAGGTCAACCTGTTAGGAGGAGTAGCACAGATCTTAATATAACATTCTATTACTTCTTAATTTACCGGTGTGGGACTTTACAAGGTGGGCAGGGCCTATGTTGGCCCCGTAGCTACGAACGTGGCTATACGCCTCCAGAAGAAACGATCCTTTGAATAGAAGTACTGATTTTCTATGTGAAACCTTGATTAGGATATGATGAATTAAATACTATTAAGCTAGCGCAAAAGTTGTCAATACTTGAATTTGTACTAGCTTAATTATTAGTTAGGTAGGTTTTATATGACAATGCGCTCATAAGTAATGAATTAAATATGTACTTTCAGATGGTATAAAAATATATATGGACGTAATTAAGGATTTAATTATCTTAACTTCACAAATTTTAATGGTCAGAAATCTATATAATGACTTAAATTGAGAATGGATGTACCCATGCATATCTATAAATTGCATTTGCAGTCTTACAAATATCTTATACGAGTAAGTTATTATTGCCTTTAATACGAGTAAAACATACACTTTTTCACTAAACATTAATTTTCTATCCATGAAACGAATTAATTAATTTTCCACTCCTAATCTTCCCTAAAATGAAGTAAACATTAATTTTCTACTCATAATACTCATATTCTAATTAATTAATTAATTAATCCCCCTAATTTTATTGAGGAATTAATTCACCTGGTAATCCGTTGATAGCGGCTCAATCTGTTGGTGACGGGGCAGTCTCTCGGCGGTACGATTCTGGATGTCGGCGTTGGCAGAGCTCCGATGGTTGGCTGTCGGCGCCACTGTAGCAGGCAGTTGCAGGAGCTCTAGCAATGGCATGGGTATTCTTGTCCATTTATAAAAAAAATCCTGTTTTTGGGAATTTTAAACCACTACTATTTATTTATTTTCATCATGTTTTACTCTTACTGTTGCAAAAAAAAT